GAATGAGTTCACCGTCATGTGGCCTTCCGATTTAGTAATATATTGGCATATGGAGAAAAACTTGCATTTTGGTAATATGTTATTGGATAAACGACGCCACATGACATTAAATCCGTTCCATATAAACTTTTTAAAATTGATGAAGGTACCAAATTGAAGCCTCAATTCATGGGCCTAGGGTCTGATGTCCTTCAAACCAACTTATTATACTAATTTTTCCTTTCGGAAAAACAAAAACTTATTTAACTAATTTTTTTTTTTTGTAACGGGCTGATGTGATGATGTAAAATTTATGTTCTTTTTTTCGGTCAAACAAGAGAACTTCCATTAAATTAAAACTAGTACAAGACCCAAAAAGAGTCGGGGCAAAATGAGAACTGCAACCTAAGAAACAACAAGAGTCCCACACAAGTTTAGGTCTGAAGGTTGCAAAAACAAACAAAAAACCTAATCTCAAGCAGCATAAACCAAACTTCCGCCGGCTTCATATCCTCGGAGGAAGTCAAACTCCGAACCGACAAGGTAAACATCAGATCCAAGTCCCTTTCTCGAACTCTTGTAATGATATACAAAGAAAGTATCTTATGGGTAGAAAGTGAGGCTAAGGGGATATGTAAAATACTTTTAATGTGGTGGAGACTACATAACACAGCCTCGATGAGGATTTGGCATATGCCGGTTTGGGGAGGGGAAGTGAGGGACAGAAGTGGATCTGATATCCAATTTTTTTATCGGAGCTCGCCGATTCGAGCACATGGTGGGGTGGATATTGAATACCACTGCTAAGGAGGAGGGAGGAAGGAAATTTAAAAGCAAAAAGCAGACAAAAAATGCCGAATAAGGGGCATGAAGCCCAAGACAAACTTAGAGGATAGTTGAGACTTGGCTCAAAGAAGAACTGAGATGAAACTCAAGGGAGAACCGAGAATAAAAATGAAGGAAGAAGACTGGAAAGGAGGAAGGAAGATGAGGTGGGATGCAAGGAGGGGAAGGGGCAGAGGAGATGGGAGGGGAGGAAAAGAGGGAAAAGGGCAAAGGAGAGGGGAGGGAAGGAGGAGGAAAAAGGAGGGAGTAGTGGGTTGCCGCCTACCCCGAGCAAGAGCAGGGGGCGGCGGCTGAAACTTTGAAACTGGGGTTGGGTTTCTTCTGGATTTGGGTTTTGAAGCTCACATACAGAGAGGACAAGTCTCATTTCGAATTTGATGCAAATCATTTACCCATTTCATGCCTCATTTATTCATAACAAAAAATAAATTTTCACCTCATCTAATAACAAAAAAAATTAGTGTAGGAAGTCGGTGCCACTAGATTGAGAGAGATTTTTCAATATCCCCGAAATCCAAAGCGATATGCCACATTATTATACAAGTGGTGGAATTTTTTTTTTTTAAGTATCCCTCTAATTGTATAATTACATGCGATGTACTGGTCGAGAGATATTGAAAAATGTCTCATAGTTTGGAGAGATCTTTCATTGTGTGTGAAACAAGGGTGGTACACCATATGTCACACAAATGATGAGATACTTGTGTTAAAAAAATTAACAACTTATAAAATAAAAAATTTCTCAACTATATAATTGCATGTGGTGTACCACCCATATTCTGAGCATAATGAAAAATTTCTCCATAATTTGAAATCATTATTCACAAAATTGAGGCCTACCATGTACCAAAATTGAAATCTCCGTGTACCCAAATTGTCACATCCCGGCTAGGGTCCACCACACCCCAGGTCCGTTCCACCACCGTAGCACGATATTATCTGCTTTGAGATTACCATTCCCTCATGGTTTTGTTTTTTGGAAACTCACGAACAACTTCCCAGTAGGTCACCCATCTTGGGAGTGCTCTGGCCTCTTTCTCGCTTAACTTCGGAATTTCCTATGGAATTCGAAGCCAGTGAGCTCCCAAAAAGCCTCGTGCTAGGTAGGGATGTGAATATACATTTAAGAATCACTCCCTTGGGACGTCGGCACATTTCTGGCCAGAAATTGGCTCTGATACCATTCTGCCACATCCCAGCCAGGGTCTACCACACCCTCGGCCCGTTCCACCACCGTAGCACGATATTGTTCGCTTTGGGCTTACCATTCCCTCACGGTTTTGTTTTTTGGGAACTCACGAGCAACTTCCCAGTGGATCACCCATCCTGAGAGTGCTCTAGCCTCCTTCTCGCTTAACTTCGGAGTTCCTATGGAATCCGAAGCCAATGAGCTCCTAAAAGGCCTCGTGCTAGATAGGGATGTGAATATACATTTAAGGATCACTCCCCTGAGCGATGTGGGATGTTACACAAATCGGCATTCGTCATCCCAAAAATCAATGGAATTGGTTACTTAATTCCCGTGAAATATTACCAAGGAGTTTCTTTTAGGGAGCATTTTTGCTCACCACTATTTAATGTGGTGTATGCTCAACACCCTATTTATCACCGTACTAGTATATTCAAATCAAACCACTGCTAAAATTCTATCGCATGAAAAATCACTAAGAATAAGATGAATGGACAGCTAGAGAAAATCTCAACCTAATTAAACCCTTATAAACAAAAAAAATTGGCCAAAGCGATTATTTTTCTAATCTCAATTGCATAAATGATTAGTTTTCAATATGTCGGCAATGTTCATCGACATGACGATCAATTTTGATTTCGATCATTGTAGCAATCGAAATATAAAAAATAATCAATTTGGCCGATTTACGAAAAATGGATCAATAAATATATATACACTATATATATACACAAGAGCACTGCAACTGCATATTGTCACTGCATCATGATTCTGAACTCTTCAAAACTGATCAAACCATCCCCATTCAAATCATACCGTTGGATCATCACCTTGCACTCATCAATGGACTTGGACTCACCCAGCTTGCTCAGCATTCTCTTCAAGCTGCTAGGTGTAATAAACCCACACCTATCCACATCGTACACCTCAAAAGCCACCCTTAAACCCTTCACTTTCTCCTCCTCTTTCCCTCCTTCCATTAACCCCACAAGATCCTCCAAACCCAGCAACCCGTCTCCATCCGAGTCCAGCATTTCCACCGCCACCTCCGCCTCGTTCTGCAGCAGCTCTCCTCCCATCAACCCTAGCCGGCGCCTCAGCTCCGAAGGCGAAATCTTTCCATCACCATCTTCGTCAAAGTATCGGAAAACACGTTCATATCCTTTGTCACTTTCCATTCACAAGTGATATCTATAGGGTTTCAAATACAGGACCTCAGATGCAAAGATATATACGCTAAACGATTACATAAAGTTATGAAAAACCTAACTGAATTCGCTTGCAATGAAACAATATTATTGCAGCCATGCAGGCATATATATATATATATATCATTTCTGGACCGACTTATTGCCATGTTCTATGATCATGGGGAAGTTGCTGTGAGTTTTCTGGACATTAATTTGCACGAAATGAAACATTCAAAAAAGGGAGGAAAATATAAATAAAAATAAAGAAATGACTCCGCACAGAGTCATGTGTGAGGCAAAGAGGAAGAATAGTTGAGAGGGAAGAAACGCAGAAGCAGATTTTGCAAGGGAAGAGGGAGAAGTTCAACGATCTAGAAAGAGAGACTAGAAGTTTCATGTTTATGGTCAACATCCTCCTGCTTCTGACTTTTTGAGAAAGTGATTATTATTTCAGACATATGTCTGACTACGTTGTACACACGCGTATATGATGCGAAATCATTTTGTGCGTATTGCGTGGCATAGTGCATGAGATATACTCATATGGAATAGGATCCTCTCCGGATCATTTTTGTGGAGATTCGGAAGATCAATAAATTATGTCCATTCATCGTATATTATGTGGTTAGAAATTATTTTAAAATTTAATTTAAAATTAAATATAAATAATATTTAACGAAAACTGATTGCACGATGTACGATGAACGAACACAATTAATTGATCATCGGATCTCCACAAAGAGGATCCTTGTCCTACTCATATTAACAATCTATACCCACAACTTTTAGTTTAGGAGGAAAACGTCAGGAGAGCAGTTTGATTATGTGGCTTGTCCGACTTTAATATGTGGATAATGTTAGAGGATTTTTTTTTTAAGGATGATAACTCGTGGCAAGTCACGGTTAGACTCATCAGCTTGGAGCCTCAAATTCGGGACCTCCTTGTTTTTTGTATTTTGGAAGCTAGAATATGCGCATTTACCATTGGGCCATTGTAAAGAAAAACTATTGGAGAGACCATCTTTTTAAACTATAATTATAAGCCACACGGTTAAACATTTAAAGAATGAATCTAACCATCAATTACCACATCATGTGATTTATAAAATATAATTTAAAATAACGATCTTTCTAGCATCACCCGATTGTATAACATGTGATGAGAAGACTCTATTGACACGCTTATAAAAAAAGGAAAACTAATGAAAATGGCTTGAAAACTTTGAGTTTTAATGATAAGAACAAAATAAAGGGTAAAGTGAATAGTACCATGATTGACTTTTTAGTGTAAAAATGTGGTTTTTCGTTAAATGAACAGTACCGGGTGCTTTTCGTTAAAGTTCCCTATAAAAAATGAGACCCGTACATTAGAGATTATCCTAGATGGAAGAGATTCTCGTTGATTAAAAAAAAAATGAAAGTACAGATTATACATGTTATACAATATTGTTTTTCTTCCACGCGTTGTGATGCAAAATTCAGTTGTCATTTATCCAGATTGATCCATAAAGAATACTAGTTTAGTCAAATCCTTCATGTCAAACTTATTAAATTATTCTTTGATGACCTGTCAATCATGAGCAATTATCTTTCTTATTAAAGTTTTTAATTTAATTGGTGATGATAATAAACACGAACATCGACTCAGAATTTGAATTTACATCCAATAATTTTTTTGAACATAAGAGATATTTTACATTAAATTTATTTGAACTACAAAGAATTTTTTTTTTGAATTTAGGTGCTTAGAGGGTGCGTTTGGTACGTGGGACGGGACGGGACGGAACGGGATGAGGTGTTCCGTCCCACGTTTGGTATGCCAAAAATTGGTGGAACGCGCTGTTCCATGGGACAGAAATTTGGTGTTTTTGCGTCCCGCCTTCCCCCTGGAACGGGTTGTTCCACGTATGTGGAACACAAAAATTCCACTGTCTACCCTCTCTGTCTCTCCCGCAACCTCCCTCTCCCGTAGCTTCGTTACCCTCCCTCTCTCCTGTAGCCTCCTCCTCCTCCTCCTCCTCCTCTACCTCAAACCCAGCTGCATCTTCCTCGACCTCAACGCTCCCTCCACCACAGACTCACGTTCTGGGGAGTTCGCGACGATTCATCTTCATCTTCGTCCCATCTTTTTTCTCTGCCACTGCCTTTTCCCGTAGCCTTCCCCTCATCCTCTCCCGTAGCAGCTGCATCTCCATGTTCGATCTCGATCTTCTCCCTTAGCAGCTGCATCTCTAGGTTCGATCTCGATCTTCTTCAGGAGTCGCTGCATCTTTCAGGTTCGATCTTGATCTCTATAGATCTTTAATTTTGCTTTTTTGATTGGGTTTTACCTTTTCGTTTTCTTGAATTTTCCACGAAAATTTCAATTTTCTGGGAAATGATTGTTATTTATGTGATAATAGCTCCAGTCTGCAATTATGCGAAAGGAAAATGGGTTGTGGACCATAAGAAGCTGCTGTATTCTGGGCATGGTTGTAAGCAATGCCTGTCAAGTATGTGGTCTTGCCGGATGACAAAGTGCATAGATTTTTCCTATGAGAAGGTTTCATGGCAGCCAAAAGATTGTCAAATGGAAGAATTTGAAGGCTATAAGTTCTTGAAAAGGTATTGAAATGTTAAAATTAAGCAGTTTCGATCAAGTGCAAGGTTTCATTTTATTACTATCTTGAATCTGGTGTGATGTGACCTTAGCCCCCTAGTTTGTATAAATCTGATCTATAATGGTTGTTTCTCCTATATATTGAATCCATTATGGGCTCAAGTTAACGAATTTCTCAAGTTGTGATGTTTTGGTTAGTAGATCTCTTCATAGACCATTAGTCTTTCTGCACTTGATCTTGTTAAGGCTTGCAGCAGTTTCCAAATAATGGACACCTCATAAGCTACCTTGCATTTTAATTTCTCTTGTCCATTCATCTATTTGAAGAATTTAAGGTTTTTAAAGAATTACGGTGAATAAGCCAAGTTGGGAAATTGGGTTTTCTGTACGAGGCAGATTTTCTGAATTGGTCAAATAACAACTTTCATTTCTAATACAATATGGCTTGCATGCATTTTTGTTTCCAGCTAGAGGCTTGACCATATTTGAGAAATCTTTTCAGCTCCATGTGGGCAATTTGTGTTTGTAAAATTGCTTGAATGAATTGAGAAATCTTGTGGAAGTTGTATGTTTAGTAAGCTTATATGCTTCAACTTGAACTTGTAGACTATACATTTATACAATGCTCGCGCTCAATGGGTACCTGTGTATTTCTGGGATTCCTGTTTTGCTGCTGTATCTCCCAATCAAGAGTACAATGGTTCCTTTTTTGAAGGCTATATGAATCAACAGACCACAATACAATGGCTCCTTTGGAGAATCGGTTTGAAAGGGAAATAGAAGCAGACTTTTCTGATTGTGATTTGCGTAGTTTTTCTGTTTTATTATTACTTACCCATGCTCTTTGCTTTTCGTTTTATAGGTCTCCATGTATGTTGTTGCAACACATTAGTTCTGTTGGGATTGTAGGGATAAGTTAGTTGGTTAGTAGCTTATGAGTGAAGCAAAGAATACTTGTATAAATAACAAACACCTCTCTCTCTCGCTCTCTCTCTGTAATTCATTCATTGTTCAAGGAATACAATCTTTAGTCAGTCACTTTCTTTCTCTAAATTATCTACCATTGTTTTTCGTTTTGCTTCTTCTGCAATCTCCAAAAGCTAATCATGGTATTATTATGTGTTCAAATATGAACAAGTTCAAAAAAAAAAATGTCTCGTCTCGTCCCACGCATAAACATTGTACCAAACAACAAACAGAACAAGGATAAGTTAGTCATTTAATCTTTTGGTTCCGTTCCGTCCAGCGCGTACCAAACGCAGAATGGAACAACCGTCCCGTTCTGTCCTTCGCGTACCAAACATAACATGGAACCTTGTTCCGTTCCGTCCTGTCCCGTCCCATTCTGTTCCGTCCCGTCCCGTTTGCGTACCAAACGGTACCAGAGGGAACACATTACTTTAACCAACCTGATTAAGTTTAGATTTGCAATTTAATCATATGATAGAATCAGAAGAATATATTACAAAATCAACTAAAAAAGCATTAGAAAATTTTCCTACATTCACCATTTCATAAAATAAGAATATAAATATTTAAGGAAGATAAGGTATAACAAACATTTTCATCAAAAGCGCTTTTAGTTATTTTAAAAGCACTTCCAAACGAGTCCTATAGCGCCAAAGATATCTTCCCACTACAAAATTTCCACCCTGAGCCTTTGCTTGTCCATCTAATTCACTGATATACACGGAGGTTATCAGGGAAATGCTACAATTACCCACTTCACTTTCTAATTTTCAGATCCCTTTGATCTGACAACCATCCACACGTTGAGTCTTGCTGAATTATCATTTGTCTGGCTGTTCCTCGAGCTCTATCGGATTATGTTGTTTCTCCGGGATTTTTTCAGAAGTTCAGGGAACTGTTTTCGCCCCTAGCGATCATTTTGTTGCCAATTCCTCGGAATCAGACAAAGCTGCATCCATTTCCTCAAAGTATGGCCAACTCTTTCGACTTCTTTTTCCGCTCTTGCTTTCCTGTTCGTGAAGACATTATTTGATTAGCGCAATGATAAAACAAGCACAAATGGAAGAAGGAACGCGGGCATTAAGGTGTAGGTGGACAAACCTCATATTTCTGAACCAGGGATGCCCACAGAGATTTGCATTGTCCTGGGCTTCGGTTGATCCCATCGGCCAACAAGTTTCTAGATATCTCTTCCCAGAGGGCCATTCTACCCTTCACAACTTGAAATCTGCTACGCAGTTTCCCCCGCATTGTAATAAGCTTCTGAACTTCGTCAGTCTTCCATTTATTGCGCTTCACGGGCTTTGAAAGATTTGGTATTTCACTGCTTTCAGGACCATCTTTCTGTGGATTTTCCTGTTCTGCAACCAGACCATTTTCATCTTCTACTGATTTGTCACCAGTTGATAATCTAACCATTGCGTTCAAAAAATCCTCTGAATCAGAAGAAAGCTTCTCTGGCTTGGAACTTGAAGTGGCAGAATCTTCCTCAGGCAGGAGTCCTTCGACTTCAATGCCATCATCTTCAAGTACGGACTCTGATGAGAATCATGAGATGAAACAATAAAACATACACAACATCAATGCCAGAAATCACAACTCCAGGTAAAAAAAAATTTAGATACATCAGATTGACATAGAGGTGATAGTGATGGAAAGGGAAAAACCTACAATACATAATGAAGGGAAAGTTGTTCCATGAATCATGATAATATCGATAGTTACTGCTAAGAAACACCATTTTATGGCACAGTGTTACGTATAATTACTGAATACATGCATATACATGTTTGCACATGTGCATATAGTTGCCGAACATGTTTCTATAAGGTGTCTATTAGGACATTTGCCCATGTGCATGTGGAGAGAGAGAGAGAGAGAGAGAGAATAAATGACCTTCAGTATCTTGTTGAGAGAAGCTCTGCAATGTGTTGTCCTTGCCTTCATCTGCTTGTGTTGTAGTTGACTGACTCGGAAAATGTGTTTTGGCCTTGCAATCATCTGCTTGTGTCCTAGTTGACGGACTCTTAATTTGATGTTGATCATATACTTTCCTCAACTGTGACACCTCTGAACCAACATAAGATTTTCCAGATAGTCTTGCACTGACCTCATCAGCATGAACTGCTGCAGGGTTCTCCATGGCAATGGCAATGACGTCTGGCCTTTTACCACTGTACTTTCTTACCAATTTCCTCAATACCTCAGACACTGTTCTTTCCATGTGAGGAAGAGGACAACTTATGGGGCAGCTTGATAGTGCAGAATGGGCAGCTTTGTAGAGTGCATCAATAAGCTTTCCTTTGTCAAGCCATAAACATCGAGTAGTAATTTTTATCTTCCCTTTTATGCTATTTTCAGTCGAACCATTTACATTTTGAGGGCGTAAAACTTCCATGCTTAAACCCAAGAAAAGAAGATCAGGATGCTATCATATAGAAATTGCCTTACTAGGAATATGCACGTGTCACTGATGAATCTATGAAACCTACCTGACCACTATTATGCCATCTAAGGCAATTCTTAGTCTCTCGTCAACACAAAGGTCGCTTGATGTGCCAAATGCTTTATCGCCGTCGCTAAACTTCAACTGTAATATAGGACTAGATTATTAGAATTGCTCGATTAACTTATCATAATACACAGATAAAACTTCTCAAGGAACACCAACCTGCAAATTCTCTTTTCCAAGCAAAGTGAAACCATTGGAAAGTACTCTTCTGTTTCTTAAATGAGAAACCCCAAGCATTTCCCCGTTTTTTATAACCTGTACCATGAATCTTTTCTAATTATGACCACAAAAGAAAACTTAAGCTACAATTACACTTACTACATATCATTGGATCATATCATCGTCCAAGGAATTATCAACAGGATAAGTTCCATGAGCATAACAAGATAAACAGAGTGACTCACAGTGGTGTGATGAATGCCAGTTGATCTCCCAAGCAATTCATGCTCTTTGAGAAACAAGAGTTCTCCATGTATGGGCAGAAAATGTTGCGGCTTCACAATTTGAAGGACTTCTTCCTTTAAAAGAAAATAAGATTTCCTGGTTAAAATATAAAAGATGGAACCAAATGAAAATTGCACATGAAAAGGCATATCAGAATATAAATAATCACTATGGCATTGTAACTTAGTTCTTGAGAAAAGAAAATAAGAAGGTGAAACAAAGAAAGACTACTGTTTTTTTTCCCTAAATAAGAAGCAACAATGTCATAAATTTTATCATCACCGTTGAGAAGATTAGAACAAAATCCTATCATATAAAAAAAAATTAGGACCTTTTGAAATTGAAATCTTGAAATAGAAGACTTACCAATTCTCCACGATACCCATGACCAGAAGTGTGCAGCCCCTCATTCTTACCCATCACTATAGTTGACCCAAGATCTGATATGCGGTTTAACATTTTCATTACCCTAGATTCATTACCAGGAATTACCTATAAGGTAAACAAGGTCAAAATAGCCAAACCGATCAATCTCACCATGCAGCGACAGTAGATATCAGAATTCTGAAAAACAGTAGAAATAACTGGAAAAGATTTCCAAAAGATTTAGCTGATGTTCTGCGTGCAACTTCCAGTTTTGGTAATTTCAACTTTGACTAGGGAACAATGTGAATTAAACTTTGGAAAGATTTCTTCTTTCTTTCTTTTTTCAATGAAAAGCTAGATTTGTTAACCATGAGTATAGGAAACTTAAAAGGGTAAAGAAACTATACGTCAATAAACAAACGAAGTTGAGAGCATAAACATTCTTATTCGTCTAAATAAATTTGGTTATGCTGAAAACTCATATAGATGTAATTTATATGAAAAATCAACTGGAGAGGCTTATTAAATCAAGTTTTATTACCTTAGCTGAATACAAAATTATGTCCTCTTTGTTCAGTTTGACGGAATGACTACTTCCGAATGATGCAAGATTTAGAGCAGCACGTGGTTCTGCCTGACACAATAGCATACATCATTTGCCAGAAAAAAGGTCCCGCCAAAGGTTTAACATTATGGAAACGGGCCGCCATAGGAGGGCATCTAGATAAACTTACTTGAGAGCCAGTTGTGACAATCAGCAAATCCTTTGGGGCATAGGAATCAATATCTTCCACTTTCACCTAAATTGATGTAATAATAAATAAATAAAACTTTATGATGAGATCTCGCACTAAAAAGAGGAGAAAAGTGAATAGATGCCATTACTAATTAGAGATCTAAATGATAACCAAGCATAATTCCAATTCCAGCATGAGTCCATCAGGCACCCATTTCCAAATTCCTAAATATAACAACCAGTATGTTTTCTACTATCTCCCCAAAAAGAATGAGATCAATTAATTATCCAGACTAGAAGTTTTGAACTAGAAACATTATACTTCTGCATAATCCAAACAAACTTCAGGTCAAAGTGGAAAGAAGAAAACTTGATAGCTTACAATGCAATCGAGTAATAGAGGATATGGCCCCAAATAGAGTTTACTGGCAAGAACTAGTAAAGGACTTCGAGATAGAACTCATTTAGTTGAAATAAGTTGAATGTAAAGAAGACGCAAGTCAAATTTTCTATTCACAGTTCATTTATGGCTAAAACAGTTTTCGTCAGCCAAATAGAAGCTGATGCTAGCTCTTACTTCTTTAATTGTACTTCCACGTCACATGAAGCAACACAAGATCTCATACGATAAGGACATGCACGCATACCCAGACTTGATGGAAAGGGGGAAAAATTACAGGATCTTCGTCTACCCATGTAAAAGAGAACTAGACAACAGGAATTATTACCAAGGATGATGGATCAATTGGTGCCTTCCCATCCTTCCAGGCTGCATCAAGATATGTCCTTAAGGACATACCAACAAATACCTAACAGATCATAATATAGCACTTAGAAACATTTTATCTCACACTATACTACGGTGGAAGATAATTTAAGGAAAAGAAGCACACTGGATTATGTTGGATAAAGTCATAAGAACCTACCAACTTTCTGCCAGTGAAATCAGCAGCAGCTTTCACGCTTCCAAGTCGGTGTATGTTTGAAGCAAACTGAGTAGTAATAACCCTCCCTTTCGCAGCTGAAATATGCTTCAACAGCGCATCTGCCACGGAAGATTCACTTGTCGTCCTTCCAGGTGAGAGTACGTTTGTAGAGTCACTCATCATCTGACAAAAAAATGGGCAATAATTGATACCTTCATTTTTTCCTCCATGAAAAACAGTTTTAAATCTTGACCAAAAATGTGGTTTACAAGATATTTTTTAATTCTTCAATGTACGAACTACGTGCACAATTCATGTATACTCCATCATTTTGGGGAGATATTTTAGACACAGAATATATAAAATTTGCCATTAATGGTTAGTAACAAATAACAATATGAATTTCATATTCTTGATTTTAACAGCACAAACAATTAAACCCCTATTTTGTCCCCAAGAAAAATGCCAGTTTCACTACCAAGTGAATCCTAAAAATAAGAAATCAGAAAGTATATCATTACTAGACTCAGTGGCAAACCAATGTTACTCCTTCTTTTGAAAGTTCTTCCAAGGCTTCGCGGTCAAAACCTCTACCATCCAATGGTGATTCGTCAATCTGTTTAACAAAATTCATTATTAAGTTTGAGAATTTAATCAAAGAAGAGAAGATGCTATACAGGTACGAAAATGTTACCTTCCAGTCCCCAGTGTGAAGAATTGTCCCATCAGAACAGCGAAGAACTAATCCACAACAGTCAGGAATAGAATGTGTCACCCGAACAGGCTCAATCTCAAATGGTCCAGCCGTAAATTTCCTCTTTGTTCTAAATGTCCTAAGTCTAGATGGAACAAAGATCCCGTGTTCCTTCAGACGTTTTTTGATAAGCTGTTGAAAAGAACAATATCAACTTTTTGAAAATTATTCTAACCAAAATTTTTGAAAACCCCAGAAATTCAAGAGGACAGGCATTCTTCATCACAAAAGGATTCATATACATCGACAATATAAGATGCAAAACCCCTAAAAATGGATGGTTAAGAGCTGCAAAGAAAGTACTTTAATATTCCACGGGTGGTCAACATTGTTGAAATTTACACATCGTGAGAGGAACTTTTAGCTGCAGAGTTAAAGTTAGGCAAGAATTACCTCCATGGTAAAGGATGATGCAAATATTGGTGTATTGGGATCCAAAGCTGGGATCACCTGTTTCGAGAAAACATATATATTAACTAAAATCCATGAAAACCAAAATAATAAACTTCCAGCAGATGTTAATCAAAAACTTTGAGGCAAATGCCATATTATACAACTTTTTTAACTAGAACAAACATATACAGTTTAAATTCATCTTAACATAGAAAAGCCCCTAGAAGTAAAAGAAACAGCAAAAACTACGTTATGGAATCAGTACTTTTATGATGTTTCTTTCTACAAAGTACAAACATAGAAAATGCAGTAGATTTATATTAAGTATGATATTGAGCCAAAATGGCATTTCCATAGTATCAGAAGGAAACTTTACCCAAGGCAACGCACCAATGTGGTCTTCGTGCCCATGTGTAATAACAATTGCTTCAATTTTGTGGCTCCATTTTTTGATAAATGTGGTATCAGGTATAATCTTTTGGACTCCAAGCTCATCAAAGCTGAAAATACATATAGCATACATAATCAGAAGAAAAGAGAAGGCAAACAAGGATCACTTTCAGCAGACACTCATAGAAGAAGCAAATACGAATAAGGATCCATTTTTCATGCAAAGCATTTCTTAGTTTTGAATGTATGGAGCAGATTTATCCTTCCATTTATGCTGGTATTACGAAATTTTGTCGATTCTACTTAAATAAACAGAATTCATAACAGTAAAAATGTGGAAAGAAGAAATCTCCTAAGAAAAGAAACTCATACCAGGCAAAAGTACATCTAATTATCACCAAGATACAATCTTTCAGGAGCATAAACAATAGAAAACTAGTCTACTTCACATACTCCGGAAACATGACACCAGCATCAATCAGAATGTAGCGATCATAATTCCCGACCAGCATGCAATTCATCCCAATTTCTCCAAGGCCACCAATTGGTAAAACACGGATTGGCGGGCCCTCTCTCCCTTCATAAAATTGTTCCATCTTTCGTTGAACAGAGTCTTCCATACTTTTCCGAGGCCCTTCCATTCTTCCTGATCTTCTTACATTCGACCTACGTGTTCCTAAATGAATTAAACCAATAAAACAACCATCAATATCATCTAAAAAAATTCGATTGTAAGATGGTAAGATGGAGCCACTAGAATATGCAACCTGTAAGTATTAACATAACTTCTCGTTCGATTTCTTGACAAAACAATCTATATAAAACATATTCATAAGCTTAATGCACATTATACCCAAGTATGGTCACTAAAAAATCAATTTTTTAAAAACAAAAATATAATCTTTTTCTCGCAAATAGAATGCCCGAGAGAGTGAAAACAACCTACAGAGCAAAACTAAACCCTGTTTCGAATTCAAATAACCTGCTTCAAATTCCACAAACCAAACAGAAGAACGAAAACTTTGTTACCCAATTAAACTAAAACATCATTACTAAAAATTATGTTCGCTAAATTTCATAATACTTCCTATTTTCCATTTTCTTCAACTTTTCCAACACAGAAAAGAAAACCCAAATTCTTATTTTAAGTACCTGTAGCAGTAGAAGAGCCCACGGAGTACGAAACGCAGCGGTTCGAGGTTTTCGGCCGCCACAGGAGGCTGTAGGGACAGGGAGAAAGAGCTCCGAGAGCGGCCATTTGGGCGGACGCGCTTCGTTTAAACGGAGCTGGGTAGAAAGAGTGGTAAACAGATAAACCCCCCAAAACCCCTAATTGCATGAGCGTGGTGGTGGACGTTTCGGAGGCCCGAAACGGCGAAACGAAACCCCGGAAATTTGGAGGCTGTTGGGGTTTGCTGAGAAGCGGGAAACGGGAGGAGGGAGGGAGAGTGCAGAGTGGGGAGTGAGGATTTTAGAGGATTTTTGTAGGCTTCTGAAATATCTCTCTTATCATTTTTGGAAGAATGAAGGTGATAAAGCACTCCCACGTGTGAGTGGGTTTTGAACATAAAAATTTAAATTTTGACAGCTTATATGGCATGGCACTTTGACATCTTTTTAAGTTTTGTTTTTCAGCCGATATGTCAAATTAAATTATTATTTTATAAAATAAATTATTAAACTAATTAAAATTTAATAAAGAACATTTAAAGTTTAATCGGTAATCTGTTCAACTTCCCTGATTGAAAAGAAGAAAAAAGGAAGATAATTGCATCGGTCAACTCAACATTAATTATAATAAATGATTAAACTAATTAAAAATTAATAAAAAAAACATTTGAAGCTGCTGTTGAATTTGATAGCAACCTCTTTTGCTACCAATCCATATCATCGCTATATAGGATTTGGCACTTCGTTTGGAGAATATTAGTGTGATCTTTGTTTACGGCTATAGGTGATATATACATTTTGACATCTCCTTTAGAAATGCTCTTAGTGCCTTTTTTTTTCTCTTATTATTATTACCAATTTTCTTTGAGTGAAACCAAAATAAATGAACAAATACAAGCGATATTGAAAAATAGCAAGTTTCTATGTACGATCAGTCGCATGTCCCCTTTCTTTCATAAATTTAGGTTGTTAATCACACAATTTGTGTGTGTGGCCGCATAACCACTTGGGCTGACGGGCAGGCACTATAATTTGCCATGGAAGAAGAATTTAAACACACAATCTCATATGCATAAATGCTCTTAACCAGCTCAATCACAAATCTCACGCTAAAAAATAGCTAAACTACGTAATGACTGTTTTCGAATGTGAATAACGACTCTGTTGTAAAATAGTGGGTATGTTTGCCCATATGTATATAATAACCCTTTCACAAGTTTAATAGTGTCATTTGTTTGTTTTCTATGTAGTTGCTCTATAAATAGAACACTACATTTGATCAAATTAGACTTGAAGAGAAAAACAACTAATAGCAATAATATACATCACTTCCTTTGCAATCATTTTGTGTTGGAATAATATTTTGCAACTCGCTTCTATTCCTAGCAAATGTTATCTCTCTAACTTTTGCCTATTTATAACAGACTCCTCAATTATTATCTTTTTCGCATAGATGTTAGCGGTTGGATTTCATTGTGTCAATTTTTGTGGTGAGTGTCTGAAAATTCTAAGCAAGCATTTTCCAGAGAGCAGGACTTGTACTTGCACGAGCTATTCATATTGATGTAGTGGTAAACCGGTAAATTCACATTGGATGAAAATATCCTTGGTGTCAAAAGATATGAAGGTACAACAACACATGCATCATATGAAATAATCTGATACAATTCTTTTTATGTCCTTAAGATTAAAATTACACTCATCCAAACATGGTACGGTAACCATTGCAGCAGCAACTGCAAGAAATCCCTGAGCGTGGTAATCTTCCGGTGTCGGGAAATAACTACGGGTCCCCGGTTGCACAAGCACTAGTCAAATTTGGGCAGCGTGTCCCGGGAACCATGGCAGTCCAGGTTGAAGACACTGTTTTGTTTCTGGAATTGGGACAATAGGTCCCAGAAAGATGCGCCACAGATCTAGTATGATTGTCACCAGCATTGCGGCGCCCAGAGCATCAATGGCCGCTCTAGGCAAGTCCCATGGATCGCCAGGCTTCTCATCGATCCTGTTAACATGAACAAACACGTGTTATGAGCATTCTAAGCGATCCCATATATTTCTGATCAATAACTTGAACCAAAAGGCTGTCTGGTTCTTACCTAAGAAACATGGGAAAGCTAACGATGAAGTATATCGCATAAAACAAGGAACCAACTGTATACATAGACGCCCGGTCCACAAATTGATAGTAAGGGAACTGCACATGGTGAAGGCAAACATCATTGTAACAGCATCTGCTCACATAGCTATCAACGAATCATTAAACTACCAGCATTTCAAAGAATGGAATGCGTAATTATTTATGAGCTTCATTATATCACAAAGGTGTCACCAACCAACAGAGATAGCGGATAAGGCATGCGGGTCAAATGGAATGCCAAGTATAAGGAAGACTAGAGGAACATGAAGCGACATATATATGAACTACAGCATTCTACCTTATCTAACCTAATATATTGATAGGCCACCTTTAGAAAGTAGTCAAAATTTACGAGTAGTTAGATGAAAGATATCATAACTGTGTTGCAACATACATTAGAAATAGCTACAGTCTCCAGGTATGCGATGAAATAAGAAAAAGCCAAAATCCATGCAGCCTCAGCAACCCATTGAACTTGTTCTGGCCATTCAGCAGTAAAATGGCGTAGTCTGCGAAGTGTTATATTTGATGTGACATGATAAAATAGGAAGCAAACATGTGTGAGAAGGAAGGTAGTGTGGGGTACCTGCACAGATAAAACGTGATTAGAAAAGATAGGTAGTATATTGCAGAGCGTTTCAAGATTTCTAGCTTACATTGTTCATCTTCCATGATGGGAAAGTATACGAAGCTCCCAAAACGGTGAAGAAATAGTGGGTCCAAAAGTAATTCCCAACATAGCTAAAAATTATTATCCACACGCTGGCCTGTTACAGAAATCAAAGTTTGGTTCAGGCTAAGCATAAAGTTATAATACAGATGAGAATGTCATATTAAAGAAAGTGCTAGTAGATCAATTAGTGCAGTAAAGCAGTGAAAAGAAAGGAACCTTCAAATGACAAGAACAAGCCTCACAATGGGAATATTCGTTTTATCACATGCTTTGCAACTCGATAAACAAATGATGAGTGTTTTTTCCAAGATGTTTGATATGATGCATATAAGCACATTATACAAAGTACCAAGAAGAGAAATATCACTGCATTCCAAATAAACGATAAGTTCAGAATAACCGGCCGCAAAAGTTATAGATAAATACAAATCCAAATTATAAGTTTCATTGTTCGATGACTTTGTCCTAATTATGATATATAATGAATTTTACCCAGGAAAACACTTGCCTTGACCCAATAACGATCCTTCCAAGCCAAGCTGCTATCCGCCTGCAACAATACTCGCAAAAAAAAAAAAAAAAAAAAAGGGTTAGAACATAAACAAACTCTGGCTAATACAATCCGAGTTCCATTCTACTGCACTAAAAGCTTGATCATACATCGGTTCTATCAGCAAATATTTACTCTCTCTCTCTCTCTCTCGTATATTGGATTAAAGTATTACTAACTTCAAGATAGCAAGAAGTTTGTACTACATGGAATATAATTCGAGGGTGGAAATAAAAGGGCTAGTGGAATTGTAATTTTAACCATCATTCGACAATTGGAAACGAAAATTTTAAACGTTATTCCGGACACCCCATTTAAATTTAAGCTGAAAATTGTCTTAAAAAATGAAATTTAAGCTGAACTTAGTAACATTCAAGTAATACCTTCCCAACGAAGAGCATTGGCAACAAAAACGCAGGGACTGCGGAAACCAATCCAATTAGCAAATACTCCAATTCTGTAAAGCTCTGCCGCATACACAGATCAAAAATCCAATTACGAAAACTAATTAGCAAAAGAAAATTGACCAACTCTACGGACTACAAATACATTTCCTCAAATAAAGTTTCCATCTTTTCTATTATTTTCATTCATTTTCTTTTGTTATTTTCTCAGTAACCAAACAGATGATACGGAAATCGAACCTCGTAGAGCTTGAAGGGCACGACGATTCCCAAGCAGAGAGTGAGCCAGAAAGGAGTGTAGAGAAGGAAGAAGAGCTCCCCCCATCTCTTGCTTGGATTCGGAGCCAACCATAAACTCGAATAACAATCCGGTTCTTCTTTACCTGCACGCATTGCCAAACACGGGCTTATCAAAAACCCGGATTATAATTCCGATACAGCAATTCAAAACCCTAATCAATTGAAGTATTTGAATTCGAGTAGTAGCGAACTTTACCGCCCATTTTGGTATTCGGATCTTTAAAACCGGTGGTTTTTATTCGGATCGGGGCGGAACGCGGAGGCGGTGGGCGGTGCTTTGAGTGTTTCACCGTCTGAGTGACTAGTGAGAGTCTCCGTCGTGATTGCGCCTAGATATTGCTGCTGTTCAGTACTTGTTGTCACTTGTCGTATTGTGCTGAGGTGGCCCATTTTTTGCTAAAAAGGGTCTGTTGAGTTAGGTATTTACTAATGTACCAGTGGCGTTGAAGAAAATAATCTAATTTGACACTATAACTACGTCATCAAAATTTGGTGCCAAAATAATTGTAGTAGTTTTATTTTTTAAAATAAGTGAGTGTAGCCAGCCGGGCGCTGCTATTGGCATAACAACCGGTACACCATAGGTTGGCCCAACCCAGTCCTCTCGTACTAGGGTTGGCTCCTCGCAGTTCTCCCTTTAATACCAACGGTAGATAGGAACCGAACTGTCTCACGACGTTTTAAACCCAACTCACGTACCACTTGAATCGGCGAACAACCGAACCCTTGGGACCTTCTTCAACCCCAGGATGTGATGAGTCGACATCGAGGTGCCAAACGACTCCGTTGACAAGAGCTCTTGGGAGTCATCAGCCTGTTATCCCCGGCGTACCTTTGATCCGTCGAGCGAAAGCCCTTCCACACATAAATGAGAGGTCTTAGGCTCAAATCTCGTATATGGCGAATTCGATACCAAATTAGGTTGTTCATTGTATGACTTAGCCGAACTTTTTTCTCCCCTTAATGTAAAATATATCGTTGTACTATAAAAAAATAAAAAATAAAACAAAACAAAACAAGTGAATGTAAGTTGTTTGGAGTTGAGTAGGCTAAATAATGACGTACAACCTTAACAACACCACGTTTTGCCAAAATATATCTCTAAGTATGGCTGGTTCAGTATGAGATTTTGAACTGAAATGAGATCCTAAATTAAAATATATCGTTGTATTATAAAAAAATAAAAAATAAAACAAAACAAATCAAGTGAATGTAAGTTGTTTGGAGTTGAGTAGGCTAAATAAAGATGTACAACCTTAACAACACCACGTTTTGCCAAAATATATCTCTAAGTAGGGCTAGTTCGGTATGACATTTTGAACCGAAATGAGATCCTGAATCCTGAACCAAATATTTTTGGGGATTTTTCGTTTTGATTTGGGAATTTCGGAAATATTTTTAAGTCCTACCTTTGAGATATGTTAATGTGGACCAATCGTTCTTGATTTCATTTCAATTTTCTTCTCAAAGTTTACGAGAGTCCAAGTTCGAATTCCTATCTCAATTACTATAGATTACTCACAGATATGTACGTTAGTCTATGTTAATTGGATGGTGTATCATTTACTTATGTTTTCAGAAGGCGAATTTTCTAGTTAATTTGTTCGTGAAATTTAGGGTAAATTACATAGTACCTTCTCAGGTTTGAGGTCTATTACAACCCTATACAACATCTTTAAAATATTTCACTTTCATATCTCACGTACTATTTTATTTTAATATAATACATTCGTTAGATTTTTCATCCATTGTTCCGTTAAGAGCTGACATGGCTGCCACATTTGTGCCACGTGGCAAATTTTTTTCTTTTCTATGAATTTAAAAATAATTAATTAAAAAAAGAATTTAAAAAATAAAAACCCTAAAACCCATGTCTTCCCCATCCCCAATAACCCCATCTCCTCATACACTCCATCCCCATCTACTATGTGCTTGTATGCAACCAGAATCTTTCGTCGCCGCCTCTATCCCCATCTGGTAGTCTGTCTCCAACAAGTCCATGCCGCACCTGTCTCTCGCCTGGAACGGGTAGCCCCGGTCGAAGTCAACGAAGAAGGCATTGCTGGAGACGCGGTGATAAGATCTAATTCTCAATTCCCTTAATCAACCTGCAAGTGGCACAAGAAAGCTATGGAAGAAGAGGGAAGGAGAGAAGAAGGAGCAGAGCTCCAATATTGATTTCTTTTGTAAAATTCTGATCTGATACATTTGGGGGAGCTGGGGCTCCTTTTATAAAACCTCTACACTTTTAAATGCCAGCTGGCATATTAACAATTCCTCACAGTAATAAAGCATAAAACCTCAGTAATAATTTGGGTCATAACAATACTTCCCCCTTGAAAATTAGCCTTGTCCTCAAGGCTTAAAAATGGAATTGTAGAACTTGACTTTGAAATCATTATAATCCTTCCAGGTATGGCAGCTCGCTTGAACTGAGTGAGTGAGTTCTTGTTTCCTGTAGCCTCTCCATAATTTTCTTGTGACATCTCCTCAAAATTTTCAACCCGAGAGAGATATGAAGATTCATCAAAACCAGAACTGAAATTAACCACCATGAACTTTCTTGTGACAGCTCCCATTTGCAGCCTTTGCAGTTGCTTTTCCCAGAAAAGATTTCTGCCCATAATGTCAAATGGAGACACACCATGGACTTGCAACCCATCTTTTGATGCTGCATCACCAATAATGGAAGTGGAGTCCTTAAAGATTGTCACATTTCTGACGAAACCAAGCTGCTCAACTGAAGTGTTCTCAACTAGTAGACTCGGATCACCGGTTCCCAAAACAGCATCCACATTTGCTTCCTGAGTTTTGTTTGAACTAGATAGGATGGATTTACCAATCATCAGCAGTTGAGATATAGCAGAACACCACCAATCATCGGAGTGAAGTCTCTCCAATCTTACAGTAGTACTACAAATTATATTGTTAACATGTCCTACCAATGCACTTTCGAACTTAGTCGCCATATCCACAGCCTTGTTCACGCTTAAATCATGCAATCTCTTCATCTCATCACCATATCCACCATCTCCAGTTTTTTGCTTTTTGCCCTTATTCAAAGCTTCAACACTTCTATCCAATTGTACCATAAAACTACCGAACTTGGTTATTTTTGTAACCCTGTTAAGCCACTCTGCCTTGACATTTTTAAAATAGAGTATCATTTTAACAGTTTTAGCCATTGCATCTCCTGGATCCCATAAAAGCCGACAGTCAGGGTTACAAGTGAAAAACAGAGAGAACTCAACATGTAAATCAATAACTAAGGCACCACCAAAATTGCTTTCCAGGTGACTAAGAAAGCATACTAAATCTAAATAGGTGCCCATAGCGCATTCACTCATCTTCAATGTATTTGTTGTTCCGTTCCCAGCAAAGTTATTGCTCTTGCTAGCTACCTCTCTAATTAGAGCTTCAACAACATTTGCCATATTATGCCTTGTCACATACATCACATCTGAAAATGACCAATCTCTCCACCACATGTAACAATAGCCCATTGCAGCAAGTGGAACTAAATATGAAGCATAATTCCCACTATAGGAAGAATTCTCATTGTAGATGGTTACAGGTCGAGATGAGGTTAACTCCCTGATTTCTCGAGCCAATTGTGGAATCTGAGCTTTAATAACTGCATTATCAAACTTCTCTGGCAAGATATCAGCTTCATTTACACCCTCCAATATATCCTGCAGCTGTGCAATAAGATCAGACAATCGCCCATTCCCCAAAACTATCAAACTGGTCAAGCCTTGTTCCATCTCCTTTAGCTGTTTGGCACTAGCAGTAACATCATTCATGTTCCCAACAACCTTCTTAGCCTCTTTTGGTGACCCAAGTTTAGTAAACCCAAGACTTTTTGCCTTGACAGCTTGGAAATAGAGCAACAGCTTAAAAGTGAGCTCCTCACCATATTTGATACAATAAAAAAAACCTTCATAGTTTGCTTGTCCTTCGGTATTGATCATAACAGAAATCTCATTCTTATTCAGCCATTTGATCTTCCTAATAGCATCACAGTGCCACTCCCTCATGTTATGACACATATTGAGCCTTGCCATATTCATCAATAAAGTTCTCTCAAATTGTTTTGTGAACTAAGAAGTGACTCAAATGCATTGACACCATAGTTGCCCATGGCGTTGTCTGAAAGATTAAGATACCTCAGAACACATTTTTCATCGGAGCTATGGTATTCAGTAATCTTAATCTCAATGTGAGACACATTATCTTTTTCTTCAGAAGACACTTCTTTAACCCTTGGCTTGTTGCTACTACCATCCAGTTTAGGGCTAGCTTCTAAATCATGCATATCTAAAGAGGCCACATAAAGCACATGTACATTTGCACTCCCTCTCTTAGACAGACGATCAAACAGTTGCAGTGCATAAAAATTCTTCTTCACAAATTGTCCCACAAGGTACCAATTACCCCATCCACATTTATCAGTTAAGAAGTCGTCATACATTATCACAATAACACCAGTATAATATGCCAGAATAACCTGCAAAACCCAATACCATTTGTCTTTCCGATTTGTAGAATTGGAAAGCAAGGATGTCAATACCTCGTGTCGACGCTTCGTGGTGTTTGTATGCGTTAAGGGCAACATATAGAGACATATAGTATGTGGGTTGAAGCTCCAGGAGAATGGATCATCGTTGAGTCGAGGAAATTCAATTCGTTGCGGACACTGAATTCGCTGTGGGCTGCCGTCCCCGTCGTGGATCCCAAAACCCTGCACGGTTGTTGGAGCTTCCTGGTTGCGCGAAAATGGTGTGCTATTGTTGGTGTGAGCTGCCATTGAAGTGTTCGAGTTCAACTGTGGTTTGACGGACGGAACTGCGATTTCTCGCAACAATGGTGATGACGAAAACAACGGCGGAACGGAATGGACTTCGATTGGAGATGGAAGTCTCGGCGGATTATCGTCTCCTTGAAGTCCGGGATGACCGAGATCGATTGATTGCGTGTGATCGGAAATCGTCGGGACTGGATCAGCAACTCCCGCAGCTCTGAGAGCCGAGTCGCAGCGGAGCAAGGCCCAATCACGGCTGAAATTCGTCGTGAGATTTGCGAATGCAGAATCCAAAGCTTCGTGAATTGCATCACGGAGCGCAGCACGCATCGAAGCTTCAAATGAGTCGATTGCAGCGGAGAGGCGTGCATCCATGGCAGGAAGACGGGTCGGGTGGGCGTCCACAGGAGGGAAACCAGGATTTGAGAATGATGATACCATTGATAAGATCTAATTCTCAATTCCCTTAATCAACCTGCAAGTGGCACAAGAAAGCTATGGAAGAAGAGGGAAGGAGAGAAGAAGGAGCAGAGCTCCAATATTGATTTCTTTTGTAAAATTCTGATCTGATACATTTGGGGGAGCTGGGGCTCCTTTTATAAAACCTCTACACTTTTAAATGCCAGCTGGCATATTAACAATTCCTCACAGTAATAAAGCATAAAACCTCAGTAATAATTTGGGTCATAACACGCGGACGCAGGGCGAGCCGGGTTCTGAGACGGAAATCGAGTTCGATTTGTCCCCATTCAAGCTAACATCATTCAGAAGTAGTCGGGTGGGGAAAAATTTGGATATTTTAGTTTTTTGGTTTTTTAGTTTTGCTGGGTTTTTTAGGATTTGAAATTGAATGGGTAGGCTTTGCATATTATTTCGAAAGATAATAGAGTGTGTTTGGTTAGAGGGAAATTGAGAGAAAATGGGTAGGAAATGTTTGGATTTCTTTGTGTTCTGTTGAGCGTGGGAAAATTTGGAACTTTTTCAGTTTTTGGCTTCTGGGATGGAGATTGAAGGTTGTCAAGGTCTAAGTGCTGGGAGTGGGAGAGGAGGTTGTCGACGTAATCGACCAAGCTGCGATGCGAGTTGTGAGATCTCGGGTTGTTGTGGTGGTAATTGGAAGTGTAGTTAGTAGACAGGTGCGGCGTTGAGGACCTCATTTTCCGTCGGGTTGTGGTGGCGGTGGTATTGGGGACGAAGAAGGCCAAAATCCTTCACCCCAGATCCTCTTTTTCATTTTTAAAGTTTTTAATTATTAAAAAATGGTTTTTTAAATAACTAATCCTTTTTTTATTTACTTGATGCAAAGTTGGCAGCCACGTTAGCATCTCATATTTGCCACGTCATCACTTAACGGTTTACTTATGAATTTTCTAACGAATGTATGAAATTGAAATAAAATAATAAGTAAATGTTTGAAATTGAAATGTTTTAAAGATATTGTATGAGATTGTAATAGACCTTAAACTTGATAGGGTACTATTTAATTTACCCTTAAATTTACTAACGGAAAAATGCTCAAAACTTGGCGTGGACATGATAAATCTTTGAGCTGCATGCTGCTTTCCGATGATGGTTCTCTTCTTGTTTCTGGTTCAGATGATGGGATGATATGTGTGTGGAACTTGATTAGGTAACAACTAAACTTTGTATTTTGCCCTCGTCACTTTTTAGATGCTAGAAAAACTTTAGGATAATAAGAATTTAACAAATGCTATTTTTCAATCATTTGGATGGCAGTTTGCTGGATGTAGAAAATGTTGAAAGCTTTCCGTCACCATTACATTATTCAACGGAGCATAAATCCTCTATGACTGGCTTGTTAACTACATCAGGCATCTCAAGTCCAGTGTTAATATCAAGCTCACTTGATGGCTCGTGCAAGGTCGCGAAACTCGTTTTAGTTCTTGCTCCAGAAAATTGTATCTTTTGATTGATTATCTTCTTACTGAAAGCAAATTATTCATTTAATTTATGTATCTGTTGTTAGGTTTGGGATTTAGTCTTGGGAAACCTCATGCATACTCTAGTTTATCCACCAGGGATAACTGCAGTTGCCCTTCACCCAAAGAAGCAGTTAATTTTCTCCGGAAGTATAGACGGAAGAATTTTTGTGAACAAACTCGAAATCGGACTGGTAGAGGATTATTTGGTTGGTGCTGAAGATCAATCACCTGTGCTAAAAGGACACAAGTAATGTCATTGGTCTTTCAAGTTAATTTCGTTAGATCGTTGGAGATAAACGTCTCCTTTTCTCAACAAAATCTTTTCTGTTATAGTTCATTTTTGTTTCAGCATCTTATTAATGTAGTTGTAAGTTGCAACTAGATTCTCTCTTTTCTCTCGTTTTGAATCTGAGAAAAAAAAAATTAAATACTACTAGATTATAACAGAATAAGAGTTATTCATTTTTCCATATTATAGTTTGCTTACATACCTATAATTCTTGCAGCGGATCTGTTACCGCATTAACCTTCAGCAAATCTGGTCTGATATCCGCATCTGAGGACTGCACCATCTGCATTTGGGATATCAGCAGTTGTGAAATCATCCGAAGATTCAACCATCAGAAAGGTAACCCTTGCTTATAGTCTTCCTTTCTGTATTTTTGTTTTCAGTTTTCTTTCTTGAGAGGGTCGAGTCTGCTAACTTTCATTTTTCGTGGTATATACTATAGGCATGCATAAATGTCATTGTTCACGAGTCTACACGCCAGTTGCATTGATGCAGTAACCAAGGCTCTCATGCATGTATTGGAATCTACCAAGAGTCTCATGCATATTGGAACCATCAAATATATTTAATTGAGTTTTAGAGCAACACAAATAGTTAAGTAGTCATTTAAGAACATTTTAAATATTTTTGGGGTAGAGCAAAAGTCCAATTCGGACTAGAGTTTCATGGTGTTGTATTCCTTATAAATATATGTACTAAACCCTTGAGAAAGGAGATTGGAATGAATTAAAATATATTTTGCTTTGTGCAATTGAAGTGAGTGATTTCTCCTTCTCAAATCAAGCATTTGGCTTGGTCGTGTGAGCGAATCCACGATTAGCGACATGAGCGAACTCCGTTGCCCCTGGTTGAGTGATTCCCAGGTTATCTATCCCTCGTCTTTTCGAGACCCTTGGTCTTTCCTGCATCATGCATAATCCTATTATATGCATTCACATTGTTTTAAAATACAAATTATACAATGTAATGTTTTATATGATCAAGATTGTTTGCTCTCTTCTATTTTAACAGGGCCTGTAACTAATCTGGCAGTGATTCCACAGTCCTCGTTGCTTCCTGTGTCAAACCATCGTAAAAAGTCTAATGCATTTGGTGTTTCTGTGCTCGGTAAGCATCCACAACCAGCCAACTCATCCAACGAGAAGATCACTCTTTTTTCACCATGCCACTCCCGGAAACCAAATCTCCATCAATTTCCAGACCACTGATTTCGCTGCCCAACAAATACAAAACATGGAGGTCTCACTTTTTCTCGCAAACATTTGCACGTAAACGAGTTTGCTTGTAATGTTTTGGGCTAAATGTCTAAGCTCTGACCAAGGTTCATTTTAATTTTTTTTTGTTGTGAAATTTGGGCAGAAAGATTCAGTTGCCGCAATGGAGATGAAATTGGAAACATGTCTAGAGGGCCGAATGCGGGCGACAAAAATGGTGAAGCATATGAATGTGATGGAAATGAATAGGCATTTGCAATCGCCTTTGCTAGGTCTAGCGAAACTGATTCATCTTCAACGAGAAAGAGCAAGACCGATTCATCTTCGACGAGAAAGAGCAAGACCATCATGCTTGAAAATCCCCCACTGCAAGCGGGGGAGGAGCAGCCATAAATCCTCAACTCATCTTTGTTCCCATGTGTCTACTTATTTTGCCAATTAATATAGAGGTTAAGATTATTATAATTACCAACTTATCAAAACTGTTTCTTTCTTCTTGTATAAGGCCATGCTATAGTCAGCTAGTAATTCTGTATAGTGATATCTTTTCTACTTGTGAGCGGGAGGCCTGAGGTTCGATCACCGTGACTGGCAAGTACAACACCTAATTATTATTGTTGAGGCTGCAGAGCCATTATCGTGGCGTAGCCTAAATTTCTTCATTCTCACTGTCAAATGTTCTTCATTCTTATCAACAACAAATAATGTATCGAGATGTCTTTTGCCTTGTGGTAGCTGTATCTATCACGACTCAGTATTAATCAGGTTGAATGTCAGAGTTTTATAAGAGCTCCTTTCGTAGTCCATGTGAGCTCCAATTATAAGAAGGCCAAATTGACATGTTTAGCGCTATAATCTTGAAAGAAATTATTTTTTTGATGAATAATGCTATATCATATTTTATATCATCTTCAACCGAAAGGGCTAAAATGTCATATATAAGCCAAAACATAGCATTTTGACAAAAAACTCATCTCCCACCGAAGATGGCTATTTTTAGCCCCTCAATAATTTATTATTTTGAGCGTCATTTGTCGCTAAATGAATAAACCTTTGGATTTCTTATATTTATATAATCTCAATAATTTTAAAGATAGAATTTCGAGTGACATGTATTGCTAAAGTGAGTAATTCTTCAGATTTCTTATCCTTATGTAATCTTAATTTTTCGGATATGATTTCGAGTGCCACGTGTCAAGATGTAATTGGTTGGAATGGTAAGAGGTAAGAGAATAGGATGTGAAGAGTTGAAATAAAATGAGGTAAGATAATATGGAATGGTGAAAATGATGTGAGAAATGGTGTTGGAATGATTTAGGTATTTATAGGAAAAAAATTTAGATTATTTTTTTTTAAAATTCATCTAAAAAAAATATTCAAATTCCAACGGTGTTGACGTCAGCTAGCGTTGCTAGCTGGCATTATGTTGACGCTAGGTAGCCGTTGCAAGTGGGCTAGGCCATGAGAATTAGGTTGGTTGGCTGGCTGATCTTGTAACAATTTAATGAAACTATTGTTAAAATCTTTGTTAAATTGAGAGATTGATTCACAAAAATACTGTTAAAAGGTGGTCTAGTGGTTGTTCACATGACAATTTAATGAGACTACTAATAAATTTTTCACAAAAGGATCAAAATAGTTTACGCTGGACAAATTTGGGATCACTTTTGTCAATTTTATTGTTAAGAATCAAAGTGAACAGTTATGATAATCTCAGTAACCATATTTTGCCTTCAAGTTTGTAATTTAGGCTTATTTTTAGCTAACTCGATTTCAATTTCATTGTGCTCCTGAAACTCATTATTTGTTTCACTTTGGTTTGTTTAACAGAATACACATAAATAAGCTAAATTGGAGTGAATATTGAATTTCATAAGGGGTGTGCTATTCACACATCCCATTTTACTTTTCACACACTCCTTCATAATTTATATCCATTGATCTTCTTCAATTCATCCAATCTGACAGCTGAAAATTAAAAACATATATGAGAAATAAAATAAAGTGTGTAGATATCACACATCTTTCATAAAATAGAGTGACGAATTTTGAGTCTTAGAAAGCAGAGCAAAGTGGAATCGAGCTAAAAATAAGGGTTTAGTTTGTTTTGGGTATAAACCTCCACAATAAACCCTAGTCCGACAGACGCTCAGACACACAGCCAGCGACTCAAATTACACAACCACCGTCTGTTCGCTCGTCACTCCTCACCATCCGCCGTTGTCGCCGCCGCTAACTTCCGTTCACGTAAGACTCCCTTCTTCTTCTTCCTCAGCAAATTCTACTTTTCTCCGTTGAATTTCATTTCTGATCTCAGCCGCCGCAACCATGGCTCAATTGAAGTCCATGTCCGCCTGCTCCGCCGCCAACCTCACTTTTCACGCGCCAAAAAGAGGTACATTTTCACTTTCCTTTTCTCCAAAGATGGTTTTTTTTTCTTTTCCTGAAATGATGCTGGTTAATTTCGAGAATAAAATTTAAATCTTTATGGATTTAGAACAATTTGAGGAGAAATGAGCAGTACCCCGATGCTTAAAAGCTTAAATCTTGATGGAAAAATTGTTGGATTTTACAGTTTGGTGTTGTATTCTGATATCAACGTGTATAATTTATTTTTGTTGTATGAGCAGAATCATATCCGTATCATGGCAGAGTTTGTTGTCCGGGGAAATTATCTTCATTTCAAGAGGTAGCTATACTTATACTGTAATACCTTGCGTACATCAATTTTCGTTCGTTTTGCGTTTGCAATGCGATTTTTTGTTTTAATTTGTTTCTGCAGTTGGGGGCACGAAAGAGTGAGCTGCAGGGGAATGCATTTGCGGTTACCAGTGGCAATGGAAGTGTAAGAGCTCATAACAAGCAAGGTGTGGTTGCTTAATCAGAGGCTATTTCACTTGCACATTAGATAGATAGACAAATAAAGGAGCTCAATTGAGATGCCGATATATGATATTTAATTTTCAAAATTCAGTCATTCGTTTGTCGTGTAAAATTGTAGGTGTTGGATGCCAATCTTATATTTACCTTTATGTGAAATTGTGAATGCAGTTATTAGAGCGGTGCTGCCCACTTACAGTGAGACAGAAGTATCCGGATCCACGAAGGAAAGAGGACTGCGTGGCAAATTGAACAAGGTTGTTCTAGCCTATAGTGGTGGCTTAGACACATCAGTCATTGTCCCATGGTTAAGGTATGCCGGTGTATTTTTCCCCCAAAAGGCATTTGTTTTCAAAACAAGTACTTAATGTCCCACGAGATTATGAGACTCATCATGATTGAATTTTATCTTCGATTGCAATTCAAATTCTGAAAATTCTGTACTTTTGTGGAGAACAATAGCTTTCATGCTTTGGAGGCATAAATTGCAGACCTATCCATATTCCAATAGTTTTTTTTTGGGACACTTTGATATGCATGTTATAATTACATAAATTTTCAAATTTTGGAATAAGTATTTTTGAACGTTCAATTTGTCTCATACCTCAGGGATAGTATGATTGTAGATGAAGCATATATGTAGGTTTAAACATAATTGTGGCTAAATAAGGAATTGAATACAAATTGAATACATTAGGAAACAGGGGTTTGTAGTATAACATAACATAAATTATATTACATATGTTTATATCTGTTGTACTTTCAAGAATAAGTATTGTTGCATTATCATTTTATCCTACTTTGTGACAGAATAGTTGAGATAATTGCTTTGGACTGCAACCAATAAGGACCAAGCATAACTCTGTCTGATTAAAGATTAGTGGAATTCCCATTTTGGATAGTTTTCTTTTGTGTGCTGCATGCGTCCTCGTTTATGTATTCCGGAAGCATTTCCTTATACTCAATGTTAATGCATATTGATTTATTTTAAGGGAACACAGTTGACATTTTACTTCCGAGTATTGACTTTGTCACTATTGTTTTGTTTGATACTTTTTTACTTGCAGGGAGAATTATGGTTGTGATGTTGTTTGCTTCACGGCTGATGTTGGTCAAGTAAGTCAGAAGTAGCAACATCTACTTCAAAGTCAAAATTTTCTTGTTTCATGCTATGTACTTTAAGATAGTCATTATTGGTTCTGACTTGCGTTCTTGCTACTTTATTCGAAATTATTAGGGTATAAAAGAATTGGATGGTCTGGAAAAAAAGGCCAAAGCCAGTGGGGCTTCTCAGTTAGTAGTGAAGGATCTAAAGGAGGAGTTTGTAAAGGAGTACATATTCCCTTGCTTGCGGGCTGGTGCAATCTATGAGAGAAAATACTTGTTAGGGACTTCAATGGCCCGTCCTGTTATTGCTAAGGTGGTCTCTCAGTTTGATTTTTTCAATTCTGTGTTAATTATGAATTCATCACCTTTGTAGATTGATATATCCACAGTCAAGACAAATGTAAAGATTAAGATAATACCTTTTAGATTTCTTGATATATGCATATGTTCTTCCGAGGTCTAATTCTTGCTGGTTGGTTTCTCCGAGTATAGATCCTTATTAGTTCAATTTGAGAATTTTTACCATGTCATTTTGTCATGTCAATATCAGGATATCCTATTACACATTAAACTAAATATTTACCTATTACTCCATACAATGACATTTCTTAAAACAGGCCATGGTTGATGTTGCAAAAGAAGTTGGAGCTGATGCTGTAGCTCATGGATGCACTGGGAAAGGAAATGATCAGGCATGCCTTCCAATTCAGAGCGTTTAGTATTACAACAACTTATGTACTCCTTCTGACACAATCTCTCTTGTCTGTTTAGGTTCGCTTTGAGCTGACATTTTTCGCTCTCAATCCCAAACTAAATGTTGTCGCTCCTTGGAGGGAGTGGGATATTACAGGTAGAGAAGATGCTATTGAATACGCTAAGAAGCATAATGTGCCTGTCCCAGTGACAAAGAAATCCATATACAGCAGAGACGGCAATTTATGGCACCTTAGTCATGAGGTATAGGCTTTACAACTCTCCTTTTTATCTGGATAAGTAGGAATTTTCATATGAGATCTCGCTGATTGTATTCTAAAATTCTCTCTTCTGTTTATCTATGTTGATTGAATTGATCAAAGGGTGATATTTTGGAAGACCCGGAAAACGAGCCCAAGAAGGATATGTTCATGTTAACAGTTGATCCAGAGGATGCACCAAATAAACCTGAGTAAGTTCCACCTGGTCTTATATGTGTTTTAGCTCTTGCTGTGTGCGCTGAGTATGTTTGTAACCCATGCTCTCGTTTCCTATAGGCATGTAGAAATTGGAATCGTTTCTGGAATTCCAGTTTCAGTCAATGGGAAGGAGCTTTCGCCGGCATCTCTACTTGATCATCTCAATCAGATTGGTGGAAAACATGGAATTGGCCGCGTTGACATGGTTGAAAACCGGCTAGTCGGTATGAAGAGCCGTGGAGTCTATGAAACTCCTGGAGGCACCATCCTCTTCGCTGCTGCACGCGAGCTGGAGTCTTTAACACTGGACCGAGAAACAATGCAAGTTAAAGACTCACTAGCCCTCAAATACGCGGAGCTGGTATATGCAGGCAGGTGGTTTGACCCACTGCGCGAGTCCTTGGATTCGTTCATGGAGGAAATCTCAAAAACAACCACCGGATCAGTAACTCTGAAGCTGTACAGGGGTTCAGTTACCGTGACCAGCCGGAAGAGCCCGTACAGTCTCTACAGGCAGGACATCTCGTCGTTTGAGAGTGGGGATATATATGATCAGGCTGATGCTGCTGGGTTCATTAGGCTGTATGGCCTTCCCATTAGGGTTCGCGCAATGCTCGACTCTTGAAGGGGAAGTTTTCAATGGCTTTGTTAGGTTTTGTTTGTAATGTTATGTTAGCCAGTTGTTTTAAACAAGAATCTAATTGTGGTTCTACTTCTAATTTATTTATGTTTTAGGTAAATAAATTTATGTTATGTTAGTTTTTGTTTGTAATGTTATGTTAGTGGAAAATAATTTAACTATGTTTTAGTAGGTAAAATAATTAACCTATGTTATAGTTAACCATTGTAGGTAAATTAAATTATTGGTATATTAATATTATTTGTATATATTAAAGGTAAATTAGCAAAAAATTATGAGAATATTATTTGTATAACTTTCAATATTGAAATATTATATATGTGTATTACTCTGAATATTGAAACATTATGTACCTACTGTTTAATTTTTACAAAGTTAATGTATCTACAAAAGAGAAGATGTCTACCAATGAAAAACAAATTAAATGTTGTTGACCAAAAAGACAAAAAAATAAAAAATAAATAAATGTCATCCACCTAATCAAAATACACTTTAGGCTTGTTTGAAAAGTGTTTTTAAACAACTAAAATTACTTTTAGAGAAAATGCTATTGCATTCAGGAAGCACTAGTTTCGTGTTTTTGCATGGAGCACTTCAAATGTTTTTTCAGAATTAACGTGCATCTTTATTAAGAATTAGTTCTAAAAACATTTTCTATAAAACGTTTTTAATCATTCAAAAACACTTTCTAAACCAGCCATTTATCTATTTCTTCCGTCTAATTTTGAAACCCTACGGTTTCATTCTAAATAGATGTCAACCATGTCATCCACCTAATCATACTTGGGAAATTATTTATTATTTTATTAATTTCAGAAAACAGAAAGTATATTACTCATCCCCACAGATGCATTTTTTTTTATTGTTTTACTAATTTATAAAACCATTGTTTTTTAATTGTTTTGCTGTTATACTAATTTATATTTGTACAAATTTCCGACCGAAAGAAGACCAAAATAAAAAGTAAAATGAAATTATTGCACAGTTTTTGTTTTTTGTTGCAAGGTTTTAGTGTGGCTCTGGTGCAAAAATTTGTTTGATCTTTGGGTTGATTAAAAATGAAAAAGAGAATAAACAAAACTAAGACCACTTTAAACGTTGGGTTAGTACTGCAAAAACTGTTTTGGCACCTTTGGCGAACAGAAATTGGGTCAGACAAAAAACAGAAACTAAACAGCCCAAATCAGCCTGTAATACAACCGCCATTGAAGCACAGCAATCTTGCTCCGTGCACCGCCATCCTCCCCAGCAGTGGATCCATCCAACCGACTCCCCAGAAGTGGCGGAAGAGAAAGCCGCAACCCTCCTCCATGGAGCAACAAATGGATCTGAGTCACAGAGTGAAAAAACTTGTGGTCCGAACCACAGTTTAAAAGAAACCAGTGGGAAAGAGATTCCACCAGTAACAATGCCAAAAAAGGCATACACATGGGAGAGAAGGAACTCTAACGAAGGGAGAGAGGGAACTCTCACGAAAGGAGAGGATGATGGTTTGCCTATAAATGTGTGGCTTTTGTTTAGTTGTAATTAATATTTCAAGAACCCTAGATACCAAACTCCTAATATACTGGTGGTCCATATAAAAAAATATCTCGCTTAATTTCTAGAAAAAAAAAGGTTACCATTTTCTCAGTTTGTTAATTGTTTGTTGTTGTTGACCAAAAAAAAAAATATATATAGAAAAATAGTGTTTAATCTTGTTTAATTAGTTGGTTTCTTGTTTTCTTGTTCATGGCTAGACAAGAAGAGGTCCTATAAAGATGGGTTAAGTTTCATTAATCTGACAAGAAATATTGATTAAAGACTAAGATTAGGGGTTTTGTTTTGGAGGTCATGGAGTTCTTACCACCATGGTTAAGGATCTTACAAGGGATGTGTGCCATTGCTTTTATTATTGCCTCTTTGTCACAAGGTTTGTAAGTTCTAATTATAAAATTAACTTCAACATCTTAAATCTTAAAATTTCTCTTGATAATTATTTTTTGCTTTGTTTGCTCACCATACAACTAAGGCAAATTACAATTGTGGAACAGTTCTTCATATGAAAATATGTTGAGGCACGAATTTTCCAATCGATAAAACGTGTCTTCGGGTTTTTTTTTCTTCGTTATTTTTAAGCTGCATCTCAAACATGAAAAGAGTAATAAATTTAAGTGCATACGTTGATGCAGCTGATGTGAATGCTGAGAGCGAGTTTCAGCCATTGCAAAATGCATCCAACCCTAAAGAACTAAAAGTGAAGAGGTCCGACTTCCCTAGTGATTTCGTGTTCGGAGTAACCACTGCTGCTGCACAAATGGAAGGATCTGCAAAAGAAGCAGGAAGAGGACCAAGTGTTTGGGACTACTACGTTGAGAAATTCCCAGGTTTATATATATATATATATATATATATATATATATGTATGTATGTATGTATGTATGTATATATATGTGTGTGTGTGTGTGTATCAGCTGCTATGACATATATATTATAATGCATGCATTTACTTTTCTTAGTTTCATATGTTCGTTACGTTTTGTTTATGATTTTTTTGTTTACCTTCAGAACGGATTGCAGACCACACGAACATGTTTACAGCCATCGATTCATACAAGCGATACAAGGTACATCGAGCTAGCAATAATTAAGTTTCTCTCGTCTTTGGCATAAATCTTAAACCAAATATTTGTAATTGTAGGAAGAAGTGAAGGGTCTCAAGGACCTTGGAGTTGATTCTCACAGATTTTCCATCTCTTGGACCAGGATTCTTCCTAGTAACCAGTTTTACCTAGTTCTTTTTTTTTTTTTTTTTTCTTTCCAGTTTTGCTAATAAGTGGTTCCGCTAATCTGTGAATTAAAATTGAAGGTTTTATGTTTAATCTCTGCTAAACTCTTGCTCTATGTTTGAAACTCTCAATCTGTAGGGGGAACCTTGAGTGGTGGAGTAAACCAAGAGGGTATCGATCACTACAGCAACTTCATCGATGAACTAATCAAGAATGGTAAGAATATGTTCAAGCAAATCGTTTATATTACGACAATAATTGATCTTGTATATATTATACATAAGTTTGTTGAATCTATATATCCAGAAAGATTTCGTAGGCTTCTGTTATCTCATGAGCATCTCAGTTGAACTTTGTTTATGTTGTACTCATTTGTTCCACATCGACCAGCTCAAAGTAGAAACAACGCTTTATTTTCCACATATTTTATTTTTCATTCTTTGTGTACAAGTTTAGCCGACATTCACCTCTCCCAGACCCTGCGTAAAGCGGGAGCCTTGTGCACTGGGTACAACCTTTTTTTTTTTTTTTTTTTTTGTGTACAAGTTTGACAAATCCACTCTATAGAAATTTGGCAAATCCACTTCACATAAAATACAATTTTCAAACATTCATGCGGTTGTATTCACATAAAGTTCTTTAATGTGATGAGTGTTATAATATAGATGGATGATAAATTTACAGTATAAAATTAATAATGAACACACATGAGTTGGACTCTAACATCACGTGGTGGGGTTAACTGTCACACTGAAGAGGTTCTAATATATCGGCATATGTTTTAATGCAGACATCACACCATTTGTGACGATACTGCACTTTGACCCACCACAAGCTTTGACAGACAAGTACGGCGGCATTCTCAATCGGTCCTTCGTGTAAGCACCTTCTAAATTACATCCATTTCATTTCTCATAGTTTAGGATAACATACCATTTAGTCATTGACCATAAATTCTGATATTTTCCTTGTCACGTTTTCTTTTCAGGAAAGATTTCAAGGATTACAGTAAACTTTGTTTTAAACTTTATGGAGATAGGGTGAAAAATTGGATTACAATCAACGAGCCGTGGATCATGGCGAAAATGGGGTACGACAAAGGCGTTGGTCCACCCGGCAGGTGTTCAGTTCAAACTGTATTTCCATGCACAAATGGTGGTAATTCAGCCACAGAACCTTACATTGCGTCACACCACCTTCTCCTCGCCCATGCTTCCGCCGTTAAGCTTTACCGAAAGAAATTTCAGGTGAAACGCTCATACTGAATCTGCTGAAATAAAGAAGCTTTGTCTTTTGCATATCTCAAATTAATAGATTAATTTTTTTTTTCTTGGTTAATATTATTTTTTAGGAAAAGCAAGGCGGACAAATTGGAATTTGTCTAGTAGGGCAATTTGTCAAGCCTTATTCGAGTTCGGCAGAAGACAAAGCTGCAGCAAGAAGAATAATAGACTTTGAACTTGGATGGTTAGTATATATATGTGTGTGTATATATATCCCTAAATTTACTTGTTTCATTGGTATAAGAAGTCTTATTGCTGTATATATGGTGTTCTTATTTAGGTTCATGGAACCATTAGTATATGGATCTTATCCAAAGAGTATGAGACGATTGGTCAAGGACAGGCTACCAAATTTCACTGAGAAAGAGAAGAAGATGATCATGGGATCCTTAGATTTTGTCGGCATCAACTATTACACCACGAGATATGGTAGAAACAACCCAGCAGATCCACAAACACCAATCTCCTATAGCAATGATCCTTTAGCTTTGGTGTCGATTACTAGTAAACTTCATAATATCTCACCATTACTTCTTTTCTGTGTGCGCACATGTGTTTTTGTGTCAATAAGTCGATGAGAATTTTTAAAACTTATACGGTTTTCTTATGTTGTGATTGTTGTAGATGCAAATGGAACCCAAATTGGTCCTCAGGTGCACCAAACTTTTGACTTGCGAAGTTGTGATATTTATTAATTGAGCCAATGGGGAAGGATGACACGCATATATAATTTTGTACTATGTAGTTAATTTCCATCTTTCTATATATAGTAAAACTAATAAGTTCTTTTAACTGTGTAGGCTGGAGGAAGTCGGTTCGTCTACAGTTACCCTCAAGGCCTGCAACAACTTCTAAAGTTTATGATGAAGAAGTACCGGCACCCTAAAATCTACATTGCTGAACATGGAATAACTGAGGCAATGGACGATAAACTAAGACTTAGTGACGCACTTAAGGATCCACATAGAATTCAATCCATTCTTCGCCATTTGTACTGGATCAAGAAGGCAATAAAGTAAGTCACTGCAATCTATGTTTACAAGTTTGAGGATGCATGGAGTATGCATTTACTTATGTTGTTTTTGTTTTTGCAGGAGTGGTGTGAATGTCAAAGGATATTTCCACTACACTTTATCTGATAATTTTGAAT